GGGCCTTTTTTACAGTGGAATAAAACGCGGCCTCAGGGGAAAATGGGGGTGAGTTTCAGATGTTACTTTCCCCGTTTCCAATGTTGGGTTTGTTAAAAGGAAACCCAAAATTACACCTCTGTTATTTCTCACATTTCAGGCTATAATTTTTTGTATTCTTCAGACCCTTTTTCCTGAGGGGACCTTTAATGAAATGCCCTTTTTCTCCGCACTGAATTCCGTCCCATAAACTATTTATTTACTTCGTGCTTTAAACACAGAAAGGCCCGAAACCATTTAAACAAGGGGGGTATACGCTTGTTCTTTAAATCTTTTTCCCCCTTCTCGGGCATTATCTATTCCGGATTTTCCCTTCCTTTTTTTCTTTCTTTAAACCCACCAAATTCTTTTATTGGGTGATTTTAATGCCCCAATTTCCCCCTGGGGAGGGTCTCACTTGATTTTTCCCGTGGGGTTCAGTTAGAGGCTTTTTCCCTTTCCCCCCCACCCCCCCCCCAGTTTTAAATACAGGTAACCCCACCCATTTTTATCCTCGGAACCTACTCTCTCTTGCAAAGATCTCTCAGGGTTTTCTCTTTTCCCCCCCGCATTAATTTACTTGGTCTGTTCTCCCCGGGCTTACATGACATTTATCATTTTTCCCAAATTCTTTAAATCCCCTTCATATTCGCCACCTCTTCGCACCCCCCGCTGGCAATTTAATCGGGGGGGAAATTGGGGGAAAACCTTTTTCTCAAACCTGGGGCTTTTTTTTAAAAGGGGGGTTTTCCCTTTTTCCCTCCCCCAATCGATGACTTTTACACCTCTTCTTCCCCCCTTCCCTTTTCACCGCAAATTCCATTTCCCAACCCCAAACTTCCCCCGGGCAGGGGGATTCTCAGGGGAAAATTTCGGGGCTGGTGGTTCCTGTTGGGGGCTCGTGCAATCGTTTGAAACGCCTGGGTTGGGGGGAGGGCCGGGGAAAATAGAACCACCCGAGCGGCTCCTTGGGTTTTAAACAGGGAAAAAAACGTGCGTCGGGGTCGCCGTGTCATCCGTGACCTAAAACGGGGACTTGCTGGCGGGGGATTAGTCTCCACCATCACCTCTGCTTCCTCTATGAGTGCAGTCTGGAAAAAAGTACGAAAACTGAGTGGTAAATATTCTCCCGAAACCCCCTCCCGTTCTGCCGGGGGTTTCCGGTGTTATATGCAAACCCACTAGATGTTGCCAAAGAAAATTGGGGAAACATCTGGTCCGTATTTCTCCCGGGACTCCATCTATGCCCCTCATTTCTTTCCCTCAAAGTCGCCCAAAAGTTGGGCCCCTTTTGGGCTTTTTTTTCTCTCAGAGAAAGGGGCATTTTAATGTGCCTTTTTTCACTTTAAGAACTGGAGGCAACACTCCCCAGCTTGTCGATCATCGGCCCGCTGGGCCCGGACACATTCTTTTTCGTTTTACAAAAAAATTTTTTTTCGTCAGCCCTTGCAGTCCTTTTACGCCTTTAAAAATCTTATTTGGTAAAAGGGGGTTCTTCCCCAGCTGTGGGAAAACCGCCCTTTTTTCTCCCTTTCCGCAAACCAGGCAATACGGGGAAAATGAAAAAATCCCACTATCGCCCCCTTTCTCTTAAACCGTGGAGTTTTCTAAATAATGGAAAAGTCTGTAAATAGACGTTTAGTTGGGGATTTAGGACCACAACAGTTCCACTCGCCCTTTTGGCTTTGTAGGGACGTTCACCTTTACCCTTTTTTCCCCTTCGCCTTTGGGTAATATGTTCGTAATGCCTTTTCGAATAACCCCTCAGGGATTGCCATAAATTTTTTTACCTTGAGAAGGCCTTTTGGGCACAAAATTTGGGGGTATAATATTTTAGCCCAAGCCCACTCCTTAGGGCCTTTTGAGGCAAACTACCACCTTCCTTTTAAAAACTTTTTAATGACAGGCCCTTTCCCTGTTGGGGTTTAAAAAGTGCCTCCCCGGGGGCTTTGTCCCAAACTGAAGGTGTCCCCCGGGATGGTTTCGAGGGACAACACTTTTTTTCCTTGCCCATTAATGATTTTGGGCCCTAGTCTTCCCTCAAATATTTGGTCTTTACTCTATGTTGAGACTTCGCTATTGCCTGTGCGGCGCTTTTGTCACCCCCTTTCGATTCTCTCCAGCATGCAGTCACCGGTTTCCAATTGGGGCCCCCAACATGGGTTTAAAATTTTTCCCGCCCCTAAAACCCACCCCAAAAAACTTTCCCCTAGACGCTCTGCATTTTCGATCATCCCTTTTTAAACCCCTTTTGGGTCCTTATCCCTGAAAATGATTAAAAGTCAATTTCTGGGCCTCCTCTTTGATCGTAGGTTATCCTGGAAACCTCACATTACCTCTCTGGGAAAGGGAAATTTCAAAAGCCGGCTGAACCTTCCCTTTAAAAACCCCTTTCTATCTTTCGTGGGGATGATCGTGAACCCTCCCTTTACCTACATTCCACCCCTTTTTTTATCGAATTTATATTGGTACCCCGATCTTTCAGCGGCCTCTCCTGCTACTCTTTCAAACCTTTAACCCCCTTTATCCAACCCAAAGGGTTAAAATTTATGCCTTGGTTTCTTTTCCCCTCCTTTCCCCCGTCAAAGCCCCCATGCGAAGCGAACGTTCCTTTCCTTTTCCGATCGCCCTTTATGCCATTGCCCGCGCTACTATGTAAAGCTCTCATGATCTCCCCGCAATCCTTCCATTTATAGAAGGTCATGATATTAGTTGAAATTTTTTATTTGTTCGCCGCCCCCGCTTTCTCCGTCCCCTTTTCTCTTTCCCCTTTATTCCGCCCCTTTTTCTTCTCTTCAACTACCCCCCTTTTTATGTACATGTAGCTCTCACTTTTCCCTAACCCCCCGGGAAAATTCCCGCTGTTGAGTCTGTTCTTTCTTTCCCCCCCTTGCCTCGAAAGCCCAACTGTTACGGGGCGCTTTCCCCCCTCTCTTTTTTTTTGACCCCTTTCACCTTCCCTTCTCATGCCCTTTTCTGTGGACAAAAGATGGCTCTAAAAACTTCTGACGGGGTAGGGGTTCGCGCAGTGTTTTGGACAGCGTTTGTACAAGGGCATTTACTATCTTCAGCTTTGTATTTTTAAATGGGTGAATTAAATGCCATCCTTACCCGCCCCTTATCCGTATTGGGATCTATGCCTGTGTCAAACATTTGTGGTTGGGCTCAGACTCCTTAGTGCTTTTCAGGCTATACAAAAATTTTAACACCCCACCCCCCTTTGTCCCCCCGTATCCAACTTTGGCTAAGCGCATCTTTACTAAAACATTTAAAAAATTTTTTTTTTTTGTTGGGGGCCCCTGGTCATGTTGAAAGTACAGGGGGAATGAACGGCAGCCACTGCTGCGCGGTCCCGCGTTTCCCTGACCTACCAGTTTTTTTTTAGAGGTTTTCCATGTAGGGGCTATTTTGCTGTAATATCCTTTCCCCCCCTTCACACCCCTTTTGGGAACAACGTTGGTTCAAATATGCTCGGGGAAAAAACCCTTTAGGGCATTAAACCCAGTATAGGGTTTCTGGCCCTCTTTTTATCACCAGTGTCGAGGTTGGGGGACTACTCTCTCCCGTCTTCGCATTGGCCATACTCGTCTTACTCATGGATATCTCATGGAGAGGCGTCTTGCTCCTCTCTGTGAGAATTGCCAAGCTCCATTATCAGTCAGCCACATTCTGTTGGACTGCCCACTTTATCAACGAGCACGCAGAATTTACCTCTGTCGTCGTCTTCGCCCCGCTGCTCTCTCTTTACCTTCCCTTCTCGCTGATGGACCCACCTTTCATCCGGACTCTCTCATTGACTTTTTGACAACGACTGACTTACTTCACAAATTCTGATACTTTCAGCCCTTTCTACTTGTATCTCTTGCTACCCTCTACCCCCGTACTATCCCCTGCCCCGCTGTTTTCTGTAACCTGCTGATCATCCCCCCTCCCTTCTGCCATCCAATTCCCTTGCTTCCTTCCCTACCCTGCAGCGCTGTATAGCCCTTGTGGCTTAGCGCTTCTTTTTGATTATAATAATAATAATACCACCTTGAGACAAAACGAAGTGTAGTTCTAACATAAACCTTTGTTCCCTTGCCTCGTCAATTCCTCTCGGGATTGTGTTTCGGTGATGTACATCTCTTTCCCAGGCCTTCTTCCCAAGGCCTTACCAAGGTCTTCTTCCCAAGGCCTTACCAAGGTCTTCCGAGGCCTTACCTAGGACCTTCTCAACTAGGCATTCTTCCTTCTAAAGTCACCAATTCAGGCTCTTTAATCTCTTCATGTTGCATTACTTTGAACTCTCGGGCTGATCTGATTGCAGCCCTTTGTATCTTTTAGTGTGTGTGTGTGTGTGTGTGGTGTGTGTGTGTGGGGTGTGTGTGTGTGTGTGTGTGTGTGTGTGTGTGCGTGTGTGTGTGTGCGTGTGTGTGTGTGTGTTGCGTGTGTGCGTGTGTGTGTGTGTGTGCGTGTGTGTGTGTGTGTGTGTGCTTGATCAGGTGGTCCCGTCTAAAGTTTTAATTTACAATTTTTGTATTCTTCCAGCACTACTACCTCCTGAATCCCATTCCAGCATCGCTTCACTATTGATGAGTATTTTGTGTATTCTTTCGGCACTATTTGTTATCACACTCCTGTCGCTTGATGCTAGTGTAAGAAGGCGCTTATGGTCAGATTTGTCACACTGACTCAGAATCGTAATAACACGACTGCAAACCACGTTTAGGGTGTGGTTTGAACCCAGTTGAATGAATCTTCTTATAGCCAGCTGGTCGTGTGGCTTACGCACTGGCCTGGAATTTTTGGACTCACTTGCCATGGGTTCGAACCCCACCATTCCGTATTTTTTCACTCATTCCCCAGGCGCTATATGACCCCAGTGGGCTTAGAGCTTCAACATAAATATACTTCACAATCGAGTGTATGGTAATGCGTGTATGTTTATTGGTTCCTGATAAATTGTGATAATTAAGGAGCGTGTTTTTTCTTCATTGTTTCAGAGTAGCAGAGTTGGACGGAGCAAGTGAGAGAGAATAGATCGCCCGCCGTCAGCCACCCATCATGGAAGACGCGCATTGCTATCCCGTCGAGGACATCCTCCAGAAATTCGGCGTCAATCAAGAGACCGGCCTCACCGACCACCAAGTCAAGGATTACCAGGCGAAATATGGCCCCAACGGTGAGTATTTTGGGAATGTAATAAGTAAACACCGACAAGATGGAGTAAATAATACCTTTGTTAATCACATCGTTTCGGCCACACAGTGGCTTTGTCATTTGTTTTTATAGAGCCCACTCTGTGGACGAAACGTGATTACTGTTAGTAAATGTATTCACTTTCTAGGTTAGCATTGACCCTTTAGAAAAGGTGGCGATGCTAGTGAAGGACTTTAATTTAAAAAAAAAAAACTAGTTACCCTTCCCTTTCTCGAATTAAATCAGTTTCCAATGAACTATATGACCCCTTGTGGTTTAGCGCTTTCCCGTAATTATACTAGTAATGTTGGTAAAAAGACATATAGCCAAACAGTATTATTGACTTTATTAGTAACTATAACAAAGTTGTCTTGTGCAGAGTTACCGGCTGAGGAGGGCAAGAGTCTGCTACAGCTCATCCTGGAGCAGTTCGACGACTTGTTAGTTAAAATCCTCCTCCTCGCTGCCATTATTTCCTTCGTAAGTACAACATATTACTTGCATAATTACCTTTTATGGTTACTGTTATTATTGTGGTGATTGTTATCTGGTGTTGAGAGATTCTTGATTGTTCTCTAAGTGTTATAGAAAGTGCTGCAGTTGAAAGAGACAAACCTACTTAGCTCATCCTGAAGGTTAAGTTTATTAGCTTCTAAGTTGTTTAAAATTACCACCCAAGTGATGGGAGGTTAACATGGTGAAATTTCAAGGAACAGTTTCTGTGGTATTGCTCTTCTTACCTTCTATGATTGACTCACTGGTGATTTGTGCTACTTCACTCGTTGCTACTTGCTTTATGTAGACTTGCTCCTCTCAGTGCAGCTCTTGGTGACTGTGCGAGTCAGCATTCACTACGGAGTGAATGTCGTAAAATACATATTTTTTTTTTCTGCCTATTCATTTTTACTGTCTGCTAACAGCTTCAACTTTATCGATTGTTTCTTATCACCGAGGTGTCTACCTCTGAAATTTTAACTCCCTATTTAATATATCCCAGCTGACTATTTTTAACTGATTCTAGGATTTATTTTTGAGTGGTTTTAGCTTGAGGTAGGAGTCACTGTATCGTTTGAGTGCCTAGTAATGTGCACAAGAGTGTGAATCTTTATTTTATGGAGCGCTGGATGACTTGGTTTCAAATGTTTTGTTAGTGGGATGAATTGTAAAGGACCTGCCTAGTATGGGCCAACAGGCCTGCTGCAGTGTTCCTCCTTTCTTATGTTCTTATGTTCTTATGTAATGAATGTGTTATGTTAATATTTATAGTTTGTGTTTGTTGGCAGCGATGCTGTGTAGCAAAAGTAGACAACAATGTGGATGTTGCTGAATGAGCAATACAGTTTTCTGGACTAGGAAGATCTCCACACTTTCATGCTGGTCACTCAGGTTATTGCAAAGACACATAGAGTAAGATTTTATTAGACAACATTTCGCACAGTGAAGTGTTTCTTAATTCGACAAATCTCACCACTAAGCGAAACGTGGTATAATTATCAGTAGGTTTTCTTGCGGTGAGACTGGCCCCACACGACGTGTTCACCTCAGACTTCATCTGAGTGATTCTTGACATACCCATCTTTCAAACTAAATCTCGATCGTTACATATTGACATGTTATTCAGACACTAATACGGCGGGTTAGGTTTCAGACCACAGCCGTAAAGCTAATCACAGCCTTTTTTTCACTTTTCAATGCATATAAAAGCCTAAAACATATTTACAGTATGATAGCGCTAGGCCTATAAAACACGATGCAACAGTGAAAATGATATTGTATTATAGCCTTTAGAAGAAGTAATTGTCAAACGAAAGCTGAAGGGGATGGTGGAGTTTGTGTGATTTTATCACACCTATCTCAGCGTTCCACATACCCTTCTCACTAAGCTTGACCTAGCTTACAACCTATCTCGTGTTTCACGTGCCTTTCTCACTAAGCTTGACCTAGCTTACAACCTATCTCGTGTTTCACGTGCCTTTCTCACTAAGCTTGACCTAGCTTACAACCTATCTCGTGTTTCACGTGCCTTTCTCACTAAGCTTAGCCTATCTGGGTGTTCCACATGCCTTTCTCACTTAGCTTGATAATTTCTAGCTGTTGATTTAAAGAGGCTTGCGACTCCTCTTTTCACTAGCATTACCCTCAGGGACCATTGTACTGTAATTAATAATTACAATAATAACAATAGCAATTAAAAAGTTTGAAAACTGCCAGAATAAGACACTAAGCACAAATGTAAACAAACTGAGGGAGAGTCAGCTGATGTGCTCCTCACCTCCCCTAACACTACTCAAAATAATAAAGTTGAATATAATCGAAAAGCGCCGTATTTACGAGGTGTGTAAGGTAAAAGGACACAAGTGCAACTAATGTGACATTTATTGTGGCAACGTTTCGCTCTCCAGGAGCTTTATCAAGCCATTACCTCCAGGAGCTTGACAAAACTCCTGGAGAACGAAACGTTGCCACAATACATCTGTGGCCACTTACCTAACGTTTTGTCGGTAATTCTATCATTATTTCTTTACGAGGTTCCCTATACTTTTTTTTTCCTGGCCAACTACTTCAGTCATGGCCGCTTTCCCGCTGGGTGATCTCTGTATTTCTGACGTATTTAACACTGCTAGCTCGTCAGTTTCTCCTGGTCATTATTAGCAGTGAGGAGAGGTGGGTAATTGTAAGACATTGGTTTTATCACAGGTGTTATAATACTTTATGATGGTCTCTCGTTAGTATTCAAAAGAATTGAGATAAGAGGATTAGATAACACACTTGATAGATCGCGCTTCTGGTAAAGAAATTGTTGGGAAGAAAGTCACTACGAAGGCAGAAGTGATCAGCGCAGCCTACTGTCACTTGTTGGTGTGTATTGATAATCACACTAGCCAACAGGTATTGTTTAACGATCTGAAAAAAACGAGAACTGTGTGTTGTGATGCGCTGACAGAGCTGATAGTTTGTGTTGATATACACTACAACTGGTAGTATGTTGAAATTTACGCCACAACTTGCTGTGTGTATTGGTATCTATGCCAGAGCTGTTAGGTAAGACACATATGCAACAGTTAGGTATCTTTATTATGAAACGTTTCGCCTACACAGTAGGCTTCTTCAGTCAAGTACAGAAAAGTTGATAGAAGCAGAAGATACTTGAAGACGATGTAATCAGTCCATCACCCTTAAAGTTTTGAGGTGGTCAGTCCCTCAGTCTGGAGAAGAGCATTGTTCCATAGTATGAAACAATATGGAACAATGCTCTTCTCCAGACTGAGGGACTGACCACCTCAAAACTTTAAGGGTGATGGACTGATTACATCGTCTTCAAGTATCTTCTGCTTCTATCAACTTTTCTGTACTTGACTGAAGAAGCCTACTGTGTAGGCGAAACGTTTCATAATAAAGATACCTAACTGTTGCATATGTGTCTTACCTAACAACCTGTCGGTATTTTATACCATTTTAATGTTCAATATGCCAGAGCTACCCCTCAAGGGGGGTAGGTGCTTTGATTCCGGGGAGAGGCTGTTGATCATGAATTGGACCAATCAAACTACGGTACGGGTGGAAGTTGAATTCACGGCAAGTGTGTCGTAAAACTCCACACCGAAGCGTTAGCCATTGGGCCAGCTGGCTACAATAAGATTCATCCAACTAGGTATATTTATAGGGAGGTTAGCTTGTGACCGCAAATGCAGGTTTTTAAAGATGAATCCCACCAGTGTGGCCCTCATGAACTCTAGTTCAATTCCCCTCGTCATGACTCACGAAATCGTAATGACACGATGGCAAACAAACCACGGTACGGGGAGTTCAATCCCCACCTATACCGTGGTTTGTTTGCAGTCGCGCCATTACGATTTCATGAGTCAGTTGGACCAATACTCATTTCCTTGTAGATGAACACAAGAGACGACAGTGTATGCACGGGTTAGTCGGTCGTTAAAGCTTAGGTTGTGGGTGGCTTTGTGAATGGGTCTGACTAATATTTGAGTGAAGGGGGTTGGATTTGAGAAGGATCCGCTAAGTATGAGCCACTAGGCCTAATGTAGTGTTCCTCCATTCTCATGTTCCTATGTGTATATGGATCTATGAGAGAATTTCAGTGTGTGAAGATTTGCTTTCTACACAGTTGATTTTACAGACTAAGAGCTGTTATCCTACCTCAGTTTATTCCAAAGTCCTGGCTTAGGTATACTACCATCCTCCCTGGAACCTGTCATTCACAACAGTACACAACCAGGTGCCTATTTACTGCTAGATGAACAGGGGCAGCCAGGTGTAAGAAGACATGCTCACATCTCCACCCACTCCATAATTGAACCATGTCCTTCGATTGTTAGCCGAAGGCACTTCCACTGAGGTACATATGAACCATGTTATTGTGGCCTCACCCTTCTATAATATAGTGGCCTCACCATCCTGTTATGGTGGCATCACCCTCCTATGTAATGACCATGCAGACGTTAACTTGAATATGATGTAACATTGATGAGCTATTTCGGACACCTATTCTTGTGGTTGTGTGAAGCCATTGTGACGTTATGGGGAAGTTGAGACTTCCCTTAGACGTCATAAATGACGTCAGGACGCAGGTATGCAAGATGGAACATAAGAATGGAGGAACACTTCAGCAGGCCTACTGGCCCATACAAAGCAGGTTGTCTTTGAGGGAGAGACTTGATGCTTAGGCAGGGTTTGGTTTGATTTAAACTTAGAAACATTCGCAAGTGTGCCGTTACCCTATACACTGTGAGAGTCACAAAGCGTAAACAAAGACTAAATATCATTATTATATTCCGCCACACGGGATGAGTTTCATACACGAGGTAATGAAGTGTCATCCTAAGCTGGGAGGCTTCAGTAAGGCGATGAGGATATCGTCAAACATTTCGTTGTTTCAGTAGCTACGGCAGTTTCAGGTTTCCTTCCAGCTGAGCTTGAGTTACTGTTACTTAGGAGTTACCATCTCTCGGGATGGTTTATCCGCTACGCGTTCAAGTGTGTCCAGGGGAAACTCCGATGGAAATAGTTGCACTATTGGCCTTGCTAGGAGGGCTTTTTTGATGCCGGTAAAGGGCTCATGATCCAAGGAGCTAGATCAACCATTCGTGTATTAAATCTGATTACCTCTCATTCTACAGGCACTGTTTGACTCGCGTATACTAGCTTCACTCCTTCCCATAAATATAATATTAATATATACACTGACAGTTTATTTTAATCATTATTTTAGGTATTAAAGTATTCTTGACTGGTGGTAAAGAGGTGACTTGCAGCCTTAATAACCCTCGTGTAGTAGACAGACTTCAAACTCCATTAACCAACCATTCTGTAAGAACGTGTGTAAATTTGACTTCATAATGCCTTCATTGTTAAACTAGTGAGGAGGAGGCTGGAGGCAGCCTCGTGTATCTCTAAATGTCCACACGACAAGCAACGGATTTTGCTGCCTGAAAACTGGTTTGTAAAATTGCTGCTCTGAT